TCAAAAATCAAAACTTTTTGCTTTTTGGAATCTAGAGATTTCAGAAGGGTAGAATTACAGAATTTAGGATATTTCAAAGTTTTAGGTTGTTCCTCTGGAAATTCATATTGTTTTGTTTTTCTTTCAAAATTTAATTTCCTCAACAACTGAAAAAAAAATAACTTTCTCAAACAACGTTTTTCCAGGAAATTGAACTGAACATCTAATTAAACAACACACACAAAATGGAAGAACCGACTAAGAAAGGTGAGTCAATTTCAAAAAAAAGTCTCAAAACTCAATTTACTTTTCTAGGAACAAAACTTTTTTTTTGATTTCCATAGTTTTTCCACTAATTTAAAGGTGGGGGGACATGAAAAAAATAATGTTCTCGAAATTTCGTTTAAATATGCCTCTCGAGGAGTTGAACTTGTGGGACGAGGATTGAGGGTGCGGCGCCGCTACCGACTGAGCTACACGGGCAAAGAGAAAGCGGTCGCCCGATTGCATACATAAAGACGAGGACGACAGCTGTACGCAGAGTGACATTAAGCGTTGTACACCGTCACGGTAGAATGCATACTCTGGCCCCAAAAATCCCCCGTAAAATCTCCTGTCCCCCCACCTTTAAAGTTTGAAATTGATGAATTTCTGAAATCATAGATTTTTAAATTTTTTTTCGGAATTTCTGTCATTGTTTCCAAACTTACAAGTTTTTTTTCTCAAAAATAGGAATTTCTTGAAATTGCTCACTTTTTTCAAAAATTCTGAACTTTTCTGAACTTTTGAAACAAAAACTTTTCGAAAATTTCCGGATTCCAAAATTTCGAGGAATCAGAATCTAAGAATTTTTGAATTTCTGAAAGTTGTTCTAAATTTTGGGAATTCTCGGATTTTGAAATTTTATAAACTTCTTTGATTTTCGAAAAAAAATTTTTGAAAATTCGAAAATGACCTAGTTTTTTCTAGGTCACGACCTAATTTTTTTATAGGTCATGACTCCTGAATATATTAAAATTTCGGAATTTCAAAAGCCAGAGTTATCGAACTTCTGAATTTCTGGCTTTCGGATTTCGGAATTTTCGGATTTTGAATTTCATTAAAATTCCCATTTTTTGTCCCCGGACACCCTAATAAATCTCCCTCAAATCCCTCTCATTCATTCTTCGTTTTTCTCGGAATGTTTTCTTTTTTTTTCCTCTTCTCCTCTTTTTTTTTCTCCATACACTTCTCCATGGCTTCACCCCCATCTTCTTCTTCCTTTTTTTTCGCCTTTGCTCCAAAAAAAGTTTCGTGTCTGCGTCTCTCACTCTCTCGCCTTATCTACACCCTCTTTTTTCTCCTTTTTTGTGCTCAAAAAGGAGCAGAAAATGTGTGCTTTTCTCGTATTTTTTTCTTTATTTACTCAGAAAAAAATGTATTAATTTATAAGATAAAAAAGAGGAAAATCCTATTTTAAGAATTGATCTATTTAAAAATCGTGTTCTTATCTCTAATATTTCTATAGGAAGTCTTAAAGGTGGGGGGACATGAAAAAAATAATGTTCTCGAAATTCCGTTCAAAGATGCCCCTCGAGGAGTTGAACTTGTGAGGGCGATGATTGAGAGTGCGGCGCCGCTACCGACTGAGCCACGCGGGCAAAGAGAAAGCGCACGCCCGATTGCATACATAAAGGCGAGGACGACAGCTGTACGCAGAGTGACATTAAGCGTTGTACACCGTCACGGTAGAATGCATACTCTAGCTACAAAAAAACTACGAAAAATCTCCTGTCCCCCCACCTTTAACATTATGATTTTAAAATTTGAAATTTCTAAACTTCTTTCTTTTTTTTTAAATTCGTTTTGAACTCCCCAATTTCTTAGGATTTCTAAATTTTGATTTGAAATTCTGAGGTTTTCAGATTTTCATAATTTTAAAGGTGGTGTACGGTGAAATTTTTTATTGCATCAAAATGTGCAGAAATGCATGTAGATTGACATAAAAATAAAGAAAAAATTCAAAAAAAATTCCTTCATCGAGAAAAACGCATCGAAAAATACGCTGAAAGCCCTTAGGGACGAGATTTTTTCTAGGCCGCCCGGTGAGTAAAAGCGCGCGAATTCAAACTTTTGGGATCCTCTAGAGTCGACCTGCAGGCATGCAAGCTTGGCACTGGCCGTCGTTTTACAACGTCGTGACTGGGAAAACCCTGGCGTTACCCAACTTAATCGCCTTGCAGCACATCCCCCTTTCGCCAGCTGGCGTAATAGCGAAGAGGCCCGCACCGATCGCCCTTCCCAACAGTTGCGCAGCCTGAATGGCGAATGGCGCCTGATGCGGT